TCTCTACTCGGAGACGTTGTCCCTATTCTCAACAAAATCATACTGTACAGTTACAGTATGGGTGATTCCACCAGTCTCGAAAACCTGACCTCCTGCCTACGACCTGCCGCAACATATGTCATTGATTGCTTCATTTCGCCAGCAACAGGTTCGTTGAGATTTCAGCCCCTGTTAACTTCGTTCATTACTGCGTTCGCATCAACGGATAGCACATTATATCCCAGCCGGGTTCAGACAATTCAAAGCCAGCTGACTTCGGTCCTTGAATTTTCGACGACCCTCTTGCGGGTTGCCAACTACCTGGATAAATCCTCGAGCATGGTTGAGACGTACCTCTTCAAGAGCTCAACCTTGCTTGCACGACTATGTGCAGTCTCCGATCACTTCCGCAAGCCCACCACTTGGTTGTTGGAGTCCCTGGTGGTGAACGCCGGAAAAGCCAGTGGCGAGCCTCCCTCATTACTTGGATACCTGGGACCACAGATGTCCAAGTCTTTCTTGCGGCTCCTTTCGACCTTGGGGAAGCCTTTCGAGTTGGCAGAAGATGTCAAGACGACCTGGAGGTTCTTCTCGGCGATCCTAAGGAATCGGCAACAGTGGATGTCAAACTGTCTTCTCACAGGGCAAACACCGCGAGAAGCAATGAACAAGGACAAGAGACAGGCTGAACTCTCTGCCAACTCGGTCTTCGCAAAGGCTTTGGCGAAGCTCGGGAAGCTGAAAGAAATCGACTCGGGTGAAGCCCTCATGGTCCTTGACTTCGTCGCTTCAGCCCAAAATTTCTGGCCTTGGACCATTTTCACCCTTCAAAAAGATACGGCTTATCTGGATGGTTTGCGAGAGTACGTTCGTGACCTCAAGTCATCACATATCACCCTCAAGACAGATCCAGTCCGAGCAAGCGTTGAGGCCAGATTGGCTGCCTACATTGCGGAAACGTTTGCGATGCAGCTGTACCACTCTCGGCACCTAGGCAATTCAAGCAACTTAGCAAGGAGCCTTGTCGGCGACCTCGACTACTACCTGCGTGATGGCGTCGAGGTTGCAGGGTACAACAAGTCCTTGCACAACAATTTTGCCAAGAACTTTTCCAACAAATACTCCGGGAGCCCAGTAGATGACTTTAAGCGAACGCTACTCGAGCCTCGTGAACTTGGAAAGAGCTACTACTACAACCTGGAGCGTGCCGAGGGGATGCTCAAGTTCGACCCAGGATGGAGCGGGCGGAAGGACAATGGTTTCAAGATGGAGATGGAACTTGCAAATACAAACCTATCCCTGGTCGATGCTCAGATTGTAAGTCACTCAACTGTTTGTCTCCGTGCTACGACTAACGATTGGTATAGGCCCTCTTCCACGCATGGGAGTTCCTTCTCGTGGAGCTCAGCACGTGTCTTCCAGATGATGACACCGTCGCTAAGCAGATGCTACAGGTCTCGCAGCAATGCCTGAACGCCAACCAAGGAATCCCCGGACCAGAAAGCATTTTCCTGAAACTCATCGATGCTAGAGCTAACCTCTCGCTGGTGTTGATTCAACGATCGGTAAAGTCTTCCGCTCCGGTTAAGGATATCAACCGGCTCCTGGCCACCTTGGTCGGGACAATGAATGGCGTCGAAGAGCTATTTGGGCTAGAGTCTATCTCATACTATCGCACCTTGCTTAAGGCGCTCTTCGTCACCCTCCGCGCATACCATACCAAGGGCAACAGAGCCACGCCCGAGTCTCAAGACGGCCTGGAGGGGACATCTGTTACTGTCGTCCAGACCGTGCTGAACGTCCTCGACCGCGTGGTTGGAAGAGGATTCCGCGCACTAGTCAACCTCATCCATGACAACGAGACTACCGTGTCGCCAGAAGATCTGGCGCTTTTGACGGCTATCTTACAAGCGAGTCTGAGCGTGCCCAGCATAGATCAGTCGCAGGTCCAAATCCTCAATATCATGGCCGAGCACCAAGTCATGCATGCTGCCACATCGCTCTATTCATGGGCGGATAAACTAGCAGATCAAGGAGATCCCATCTACGGCGAGCTCAGCATTCTTTTCTTGCTCGAGCTCTCGACGCTTCCGCTACTTGCTGAGCAGATGGCATGCGATGGTATACTGAGCAACATCTTATCGGCCAATCTGACTAAGTTCATGCTTAAATCCAACATTTCACCATACTCTGATGCTCCAGTGGCACAGCGCTGCTATGGAATCTGGGCCAAGGGTCTGCTCCCCCTGATGCTGAATCTCTTGTCCGCTCTGGGGGCTACTGTCGCGCCGGAGATTTCCTATGTTCTCAACCAGTTCCCTCATCTTCTAGAGTCGAGCGTGGATCGGTTCGAGGCCCCAGGAGCCAGTCGCACCCAATCGCGATCATCACCCCATTACCTGACGCTCTTGGCGATATCGGAAGTACACTCGTTGGCCCTGCTAACGCGAGTCATCGAGGCTCTTCGAGTCAACAACAATCGGGATATCCCTGCAGTGGAATGGGATGCCGCGAGCCTCCTGGAGAATGTGGACTTTTGGCTCTCGACCAAGAAGTTGCTCAAGGAGCGTCTCATGCCCCTGGGCCAACGCGAAGTGGACTGGCGAGGGATGAAGGCTAGCACAGCTGGGTGCGATAATCTTTTGGAGGAGAAGGCGGCGGCACAGTTGGATGCTGTTCGCGACATGTTGAGCGAGGACACAGAGGTCTGAGGCTGGATGGAACTGGAATGATGGGTGGATGTGTAAATTAACTTACTATCATAGGTCAAGGGCGTTGGACAATGGGCCGCGAGTGTATCGTGGGAAGAGAACGGTCTGTGTGATAAGAAAAAGTAGAGAAAGAAAGGACGGAATGAGGGTGTCATATCTCATTAACCCATGATAGTTTTTATGAACGTTGTTTCTACATGGTTGTTAGGTTTTATCACGTCAAATGGTCGGGAGAGCGAGCGCTTCCATGGTGTTCATGATCCATTCATTATACGGTGAGTTGAGTAGAAATGGTAATATTCTAGGAGCATACCGCCAGTCCGATCACTTCCTTTCTATGTCCCATCGTAATTGTACAGAAATAGGTTGGTGTTACAGGGCCGTGTTCGCACCGCCTCACCACTCGTTACCTCTCTTTCTATTGTTGATAATCTTTCACCCAAGAACCGCCAACACCGAGGTCTGTCTTTTCCGATTCGTATTCATACACACATCAGACACTTGTAGCGCAACCAAAGGTCCTCAAGGTTGAGGAAGATACGGGTTCGCTTCATCCCAGAGACATTTCAACATGGCTTACACCGCCGGGATGTTAAAATGGATGGACGGACGACTATCCGCTATGTGTTATTTTTTTTGTTTCGTTCTTTGTCTGCACTTATTGCTGGTTCTGCATCTGGGCAGTGAGCTGGGCATTGTGCTCCTGGAAGCGGTCACTGACTCGCTGCTGCGTGGCCATCCACTTGAGAACACATCGGTTGATGCAGCCGCCCTCGCGGGAGGAGATGGCCTTGGAGGTGAAGTCGTCGACGCAGGAAACGAAGCAGTGCTCAACGAGACCGCCGAAGGCCTAAGCAGGGTGGATGTGTTAGTCGAATCGATCTAGTGAGGGAAACAGGTGTATCGAGAGCGGGAATTCGATGGAACGGAAGGGGGCGTGGAGGAGAAAGACGTACGCCCATAAACTCCTTAACCTGGCGTTTCTGCATGCGCTGCTCTAGCATGCGCTGCTCGTTGGCGGTCAACCTGGGGGCATTGAGGGTCAGTTTTTGAGGCGCTCGGCTGGTTAATAGCGGGGCAGAGTGAAGCTCACATATCCATCGTGGCGGTTTCGAGGGGTGGGTTCGTTGATGAGGGTGGAGATATGGTTGTCGTTGGGGGTGTAGATGGACGCTTCTCGGAGGTTGAAATTTTGGTATGCGCCGCGGTGAGCTGGCTTATCAGCGGGATCGCATTATCGTTTTACCCCGGACGATTTACATTGGTTGGTTAGGTAGCTTGTTGGGCGTCACAGCGCTGGGAGCACCTCTAGAGAGCCAGTGAAGGCTGCTAGTATTCACTGAAGTCCATCGCAATAGAAAATAGACCGGCTCACGACCTTACGTTTACATGGCGGCGCTGAGCAAGCCTCGAATTCTCTAGAAGTTGAAGTTTGGACATCCCGTGTGTTTGAAGACGGATCTCGCGGCTTCGAGGCCGTGCGGCTCCGTTCGGCGCACTACATTCATACCTACCTTGTCCTACCTTTTTGTGCTCCCTCATGCGAACCTCCGGCTGGAGGCAGCTCCGGGAGCAACGGAGGCTGCGCGACCCGGGGCCCGGTTCACAACCGAGTTGATGAAGCCAAGTGGTGAAGAAACAAGGAACAACCCCCACGTCCGGCACCCCGGGCGAGGACCCCCAAAAACTTGAAGCTTTCCTTGCTACCCAGCGATGACCTCATCTCACCTCCCACGTCCTTGGTCGCGGTCAGCGCCTTGTTGGTTGGTCTCAGAGCGCTCTCACCGCAGATGCTGCATTCGGATGGCAAGTCCAGTTTGTTTTTGCCACCCGGACGTGGTCCCCGTTTCTCTGCGTGTTTCATCGTCTCCTGCTAACTGCGTGTTTTCCTTGCTTTTCGAAGCTGGAGGCTCATCAGAGATCTGCCAGACGAGGAAATCAGGTTTAGCTTCATGCTCCGTGCCGATGCGGTCGGTGCCTGGTTGGAGCTGGGGCAAGGTCGGTACTTGAATACGAGCATGTGTGCTGTTTTTAGAAATGCTTGCTGTGAGTCCGAAGCATCGGGAGGTCTTTTTGGAGAAAATTGGCATTTCAAGAGCGGAGGGAGGCTAGTTACCACGATTCAGAGTTTGTGAGAGCATGTGCATATCGAGTTAAACCAGCAGAGTAAACAAACTCTCACCCGTCACATTCGCTCAAGGGATCCTTGAGTCTGAAAGTAAATCATGAACCTTGCGTTTGACTTGGTGCTTGGGTTCATCTAGCACTCCCTTGATATTGAGAGACATTATGTGCTTAGTCATACCGGAAGACACAGTGGCGGAGTGGTTAACGCGCATCCCTGCTATAATTGCTGCTCCACAAGGGCTCTATAACCTTTGTTAGGATGTCTCCTCGGAGGCGCAGGTTCGAATCCTGTCTGTGTCGGCTTTCTTTTTGTCTCTTCCTCTTCCTGATTATGAGATGTGGCGCGGTTTGTAGGGAGCTTGGTCGTTGCAACATGAGGCGCGATTACACTGTTCCTGGTCGATGCTTCTTTTTGGATGAACGCTGAGGCGTCTCCATCCAGGACGACTAAGAGAATCCTGCCTGTTCCCAATGAAGTACAAGTCTGGTGCGCTTCGTATGGGTAGTCTTCAATATCCTTCCAGCTCGGGACGATATACGCAACTCGAGTGGAGGTACCCACTTCAATAACTTGGACATCCTTTTCGCTACCTCAAGATCACGCATACGAACGGACTTAATCTTAGGCATTAAGCCAACCGTTCTGTGGGTTCTTGCATCTTTGACCAGATGGAGGAGTGTGGTACCTGCAACTGTCAATACCCAATCAACCAGGTACTGTTCATCGGCAGGTGGACATATGCATTAACGTTGGCGCAGATCCCTAGTGTTAGTCGATGGAGCGCCGTGCTAGTCCTGTTTGTCCGGACTTAGTTTCAAAAAATGAGAGAGATGCTTCATTCTGATACACCTAATTAACCAGGCGTTTTAGCCCTGCAACCAATTACAGTCGACCACGACGTTCTGGTGCTTCTGTCATGTGGTGAGCTGCGGAAGATGAATCAGCGAAGGGCACATTGTTACACTCGAATTGGCTGACTTCGCTCAACTGCCTTATCTGAATAACATGACAACGACGAGGACGCCACTGTTCAAAAAGACATGAAAATGGCAAAAATGGCAAAAAGAAAGCCGACACAGACAAGATTCGAACTTGCGCCTCCGAGGAGACATCCTTACAAGGTTTTGCCCTTGTGAAGCAGCAATTATAGCAGGGATGCGCGTTAACCACTCCGCCACTGTGTCTCAGTGACTGCGCTGATGTTGAAGATGGCTGAGTAATGTTCATTTATATAGCCAAAAAGGCATTTGTTCTTATTCGAAGGCATGAATCATGGAGGCAGTATTACATATAAAATGTAACTAGTGTGGATAACCAAATACTTAATTTTAGAGAGCAACTTAATTCGACATCGACGGGTACAGATGTCCAAAGGGATGTCTAGTATCACTGCGTACAGCAGGGTGGAAGCCAAAGGCAGGGTGGCTTAGGTACGTACTCTGAAGATGCCGTCAACTAGCAGGACGGCAACGCACGGAAACCCCAACTTTCGAATTTCTCGAAGGCGACGAATTTTCGAGAGGGAGGGGGGAATGATCGTCAGGGTAGCCTGCTGATGGTCCGTCTAAGGCTTGGGACTGGCTGAGAGCTCTTCTGGTGGTGGTGGGTGGCTGGTGGCGGGTTGAATGAAAGCTGTAGGCGTATTGAGCTGGGTCGTAATGAGGGGGACTTGACTGCTTCGTACTCCGTGCAGAAACCCGGGTACATGTGTGTTGTGTTTATGCCGTACTGTGTGGGAAGCAACAAGGGTTCTGACGTGTGATGCTCGCAGCTCATCCTGCGGTTCCCTGGCACTTTTAGCTGGCTGGAATAGTTGAGACTCGAGCATCCAATTTTGGAAACAGGGAAGAGAGTAGTTACATGGCTGGGGATGAAAGCAGGAGCAGCAATACGAGACATATGACGACTACTTACTTATCATGCACGAACAGATGCGACGGCAGGACTTAGTTCTTCTAGCAATTGTCGTTGAGAGGCCCGGCAAATCTGAAATTACCTGGACGGGATCCATGATAGAAACGGTCGATCGATGATTGATTGACTAGGATGCGATGAGAGTCGATTTGGAATGACGCCCTCGCCTTACAGTTTACGATGGGAGGGGTTAGTTTTGCGGTACGATGCCCCATTGTTCTTTGTTGGTGAGCATGGATCTGAGGTGCGTACCTGTAGGCGACCTGCGGACGACGGACGTGCTAAAATTACATGGGCACCTGTCGTCGCCATGGCTCTATCCTACAATTCATTCTATTTATTTACATTGTGACGGTAGTTGACCCCTGATATCCGCCATCATGTCTGCTTGGAGAGTCGC